CATTTTGGGGGTTGAGATGGAACAGTCCATTTGACTTTTGGACCTATCTGTAGGTAAGGGTATTGTCCAGCTAGTAGGGGGGGTTGTTTTCATCCTGGCTGTACTATTGTAAATCTTTTGCCAGGCAATTATATTAATCCATCCTTCCCAACACTTACATGCCTAACTTACTTAGATATCTAAGGTACTTAAACATCTTGTGATAGATGAAGGGACTAGACCGACCAGCAGAAAGAAAGTGAATCTGAGATTTTATTCAGAAGCATCAGTATATACATCTTTACTCCTAAGAGCTTTTTTTTGGTTACAGCTTGCAGACATAATCACAGTTCTACAAAAAAATCTGTGCTCTTGACATTTTCCATTGTTGTCGCCAAAGCCATGGTAAAGGAGCATGAAGAGTGTACAGTTCTATGTTAACTTAGAAGTAGAAACTCATTCGTCCAGTTCTGTCTCAGGTACATGCTGTTTCAGAGAGATGCTGTTGCTGTTGCTCTCTGTTTAACTCTTTCCTTACACCAACATCTGTTACCCTAACATATAAGAGAGCAGCATTTCTCCTTTATTTGCTATAGCATGTGCACTCATGTATGCACACAGACATAGAGTCAGTGCAAGGTACCTGAGAAAAATTCCCCTCAAAGATAGTGAAATACTTTAGATGCTTTTGCATCTCCTCGACAGGCAAAGGGTTGAGCCTTAAGGAGTAGGGGTGTTGGCCTAGGACTCGTTGTTCAGCAATCCTCTGAGTTTAGAAAACTTGAGAGTTTGCTGGCTTTGAGAGGTGTCCCACTCAGAGAGAGGTTGTTTGTTGCAACCCACTGTGGTCCAGAAGAGCTCAAAGGTTCTCATTTTGGACTGCTGTTGATAGGGCTGCAAAAGAGTGGGCTTTAGCCAGAACAGTATTTCATTCTGGCCACACTTTGGGTCAGGACACTTTCTTTGAAAGTGTGAGAGCAAGGATGTTATGCCTTTCAGGCAAGAAAAATAGTTTTCAAGGCTTTTCATAAAGAAAACAGGAGCTCATTAGACAGCAGCAGTTCCTGGGAGCAGACAGTGTTTCTGATAAGCTCAAGAGGAGCTGAGCACAGGTGCTGTTTGTGAAGGCGGAAGCCTAATGAGCATTTCTTAGATCTCAGCGCGGCCTGAAAAAGGGGGGGAAAGCACCACAACAGGCTATTTCCCAGGAAGCAGGGCTTTAGCACACATAGTGGTTGCTCCAGAAGGCAAATATTGTAAATAACAAATACCCATCCCCCCACCCCACCCCACCCCTTCCTCCTCCTTTTCTTAGCTTTTATATCTGAGCTGACATAACATGGTATGGAATATCCCTTTGGTTAATTTGGGTCAGCTGGCCTAGTTGTGTTCCCTCCCAGGATCCTGCCTACCCCCAGCCTATTGATGGGGTGGGGGAGAATACTGGAGAGACAGGACAGGAGAAACAGCATACTCAATCATTGGGCACTGACACTGGCCCGGCTCAGGTCATTGTTGCACTCCTTGCTCCTCACTAAATTCACTCTTTCTCAGTTCATGTAATTTCTACTACTTTGCTTTGTGCAACATACATCTCACACCACAGATTATTTTCCTGCAAGGTTAAATCTTCTCAAGGCACACACCAGATCTCCCCATCCTTCAGCGTTACCCACCAAGGGTCCACCTGGTCCTTGGGCAATGACAATCCAACAAATAGGTTTGCCTTTTCCCATGGGAGGAGAAATCCACACTGACTTCTCCAGACACTTCCCTATGTGTAGTATGGAGACCTTATCTTCTCCCACAGTGTGTAGGGTTTTTTTTTTTTTTTGGGGGGGCTGGACCAGGGCAGTTAGCAGATCCTCTGGTGTTAAGCAGCCAAGTGGCTTCTGCTAAATTTGCATCCCAATGCTTCCATGCCCCATTGCCTAATGCCCTTAACATAGTCTTCAGCAGTCCATTATATCTCCCAGTCTTTCCAGAGGCTTGTGGGTGATAAGGGTTGTGATATATCCACTCAATTCCATGCTTCTTTGCCCAAGAGTTTATAAGGTTATTTTGAAAATTAGTCCCATTTTCTGACTTAGTTCTCTCTGGGGTACCATGTTACCACAAAATGTGTCTCTTAGGCCTAAGATGGTGTTTTGAGCAGTAGCATGGTTTACTGGGTATGTTTCCAGCCAACCAGTAGTTACATGGTGAGTATGCAGCTCTTGCCATGGCGTGTTCATGGCAGTGGTCCAATGTAGTCAATTTGCCAGGCCTCACTATATCAGAAACCTATCCACTGCCCTCTATTACAGGGAGATTTCGCTCACGTAGCTCCCTTAATTTTGCAGCACATTTCACATTTGTGAATAACCTGTGTGATAGCCTCCATGGTGAGGTCCACCCCTTGATCACAAGCCCATCTGTATATTGTATCTCTTCCTAGATGTCCTGATGTTTTTATACTAAAATCAGACAGATAGAAACTTTCTAACACAGTTTTGAGTGTTAGAAAGCAGGCATTCTTTATTGTAGCATGCTGGTCACTGAGAAGATCCTTCCTCTGACTGAGTGCCCTGAGCATCAGGTAAACACAGTTTTAATCACACATACTGATTACATATTCATTATCTATCCCTGCTTTCTTGATGCATATGTATTACTTTATTTTACATAGTCGTACTCCTTATCATAAGTCTTTATATGGTTCCTTGGGGTCTTCGGTGGTCTTCAATGTCTGGTGTTCTTTCTAGATGGCTTTCCCTTGACCCCCGGTTTGAATATCATTGTTTCACAGCCTTGTTTGTCAGCCTTGCAGAGCTGAGCTGGCATCTTGCTTGTGTTTTGCATGTCTTCTGTTTGCCTAGGTTACATCCTTTATTTACTTCTCCCAAGGCTATGCTGTTCTGTTCTACTAGTATTAATTTCTTCCATTTTTGTGCAACACTTGGATCACATTTAGTAATATTGTTGCCTTTTTCTCAACCTGGAAATTAAACCTGATATAATTTTAGTAAGGAGGTATTATAAAAATGTATTTTTATTTGAAGGTCTTTAGGGGCAGTTATGGAAAGATGTCCACAAAAGCCCACCCCCTCCAGGGGTCAGCACATTTTTATAGGTTTTAGGAAATTAGCATAATTGATAAAAAGCACCAATTAGGAGGACAAGTGGTGATGCAATTCTCCTCCAGGTCAAGCCCCTTTTCTGGAGCTCCTCCCTTGGCACTAGCTGTACTTTGTCCATGAAATGTATCTCAAAGAGTTGTTCTTAACCTTGGTAGCCAGGAAGAACTAAGATAGCATTGGGGCCTTGTATCCCCCGGGGCTTAGAGCTCTGGAATTTGTTTTGTCTTTCTGCCTAGGGAAAGGCCATGGAAAATTACTGGGAAAAGTAGCCACTAATACAATAGGCTACAGATCTACAAATATATGTGTGAAGAATACAGACAACATATAAAAAAAGGCAAAAACCTAAATGGCATCAATAAAACTAGATGGAAATTTTTCTCCCAAATCAAGGCTGAATTAACTACTGTCAAGATCGCAGAACAAGACTTAGGCATCTTGTTTTTTCTCAACTCTAACTACTTTAACTGATAAGCATTAACTTGCAAAAATCAAGAGTCTGTGTCTATGACTTCTGGTAGATTATCAAATTTCTGTAGCTGAACGAAATCCAGACAGTGATACTGACTGCACAACCTGCTCTGAAATGCACAGCATAAACAAATGGAAAAATTAGATTTTCCTCTTATTTTTCAATAGATTAAAGAGTTTCTTAAAAACAATTTGAGATGCAATATTTTGGACTATAGCTATGCATATATTTATTTTTTACTACCTAATTTTCATGTGATACTACTTCCTACAGCATGCTTTTCTTGAAATACAAGAATACTGAATCAGTTTTGGACTTTGAGGGAGTGTGGCTTTGTCTAATTTCCATTATAAATAGTCATGTATAACACCTTACTTGTAATATTCATTCCAAATTTTATGTATACAGTCTGTTCAAGTTTAATACTGATAATATGTAATTTGTTTGTATTGCTTTGTAACTATACCTCTGACTTAATGCCTGAACCAAAAATCAATGTCATGTTTACATAAAATCCAAAATAAACACCCAAATTCTGTAGTGATAAAGTATTGTGAGCCAAAGCTGGGCCTTAACATTGGGAAAACAGAGATGGGTTCAGGTCTGATCTTCAGAGAACAGCATTTGAGACATTGGTTCAACAGGGTGCTCTGTGGAGTAGTGGCTGAAGTAAAGATCTTTCTTATGGTATACCATATCTTCTTAAAATATAAGAAAAACCAGGGTTTTTGCCTTATGCTTTATCATGCCAAGTAGAGATGCACACTTCTGAAACAGTGTGTGCATGTCTCATTGACTATTACGAATCTGATGTCCTGTGTATAGGTAACTGCAGCAGTTTCCATTTTCCAAGAGTTACACCAACATAGCTGCTCTACCAGATTGCTTGGGTTGATGAAGAGCTTTAGCATAAGCTCAGTGGTGGGAGAAGTGAAAGCAATGAGGTTAAGTGACTTGTGTCTGAATCTGTGGCAGAGTTGAGATTAGGATCAGGGTTTGTGCCACGAGAGTGCACTACTTTCCTCTTACTTATTGAGAGAATGGCTAAATTTGCTGCTAAGTGCAGACTGGTGTGAGGTTTGGAAAATTGCTGCCAGCTTGCTGAACTACTGGGAGTTTCACATTGGTCTTAATTGGATGCAACTCTGCTTCTGCAGCTATCATTTACCAAGTAACTTTTTCTTACTATCAAACTTTTATGAATGTTGTGATGGAATGGCAAAGAGGGCTTGTAAACCAGCTCCTTTTGATTTTATTGGATATAAAAAGGGTATGACAGAAAGACAGGGTTCATCATTAAAGCAAGTTCTATGAGATGCATTCTTTCTCGGAAATACATGATGACTTTTGCTAGATTAATTAAAGGTTATCAAAAATGAGATATGGTACTTTATTCAAGAATGTAAGCCCTCCTTTTTTTCCCTTCACAGGTTTCCACTTGAGTGGCACTGTGACAGACACTGCAATGCAATCAGAAACTGTTTGCAATGTAGCTATCAGCTTTGATCGTTGCAAGATTACCTCAGTGACCTGTAGCTGTGGAAACAAGGACATATTTTACTGTGCCCACGTTGTGGCACTCTCTTTATACCGGATCCGCAAGCCAGATCAGGTCAAACTGCATCTTCCCATTTCAGAGACACTGTTTCAAATGAACAGAGACCAACTACAAAAATTTGTTCAGTATTTGATCACAGTGCACCACACAGAAGTTTTGCCAACTGCTCAGAAATTAGCAGATGAAATTCTTTCTCAGAATTCAGAAATCAATCAAGTCCATGGTAAGTTTGATGCTTGTTCTTTTGTTTCATTCCCTCTCTGTTTTTTTATATAATTTTTTGTGGCATTTAGGAGTGTGGGCACCTGAAGTCCCTTTCAACCTAATTACTTTGTAATTTTTATGATGTTTACATTATGGTGTAGTGGTCATGTTGTTTCTGCTGTTGCTTTTTCCTCAGGGGGAGGACTCCTCACACTCTTTCCCTGCTCCAGTGTGGGTTCCCTCTGTCCTGGTTACAGGAGTAGAGTGCCAGTTTAGCAGTATGTGGGTGCAACAAACTGTATATTCGACTCCTCTCTACATAATTTCTGACACTCTGTTAATGATGGGTCATTTGCAGTAGTGGCCCAGTGCACACTTGACACCTCAGGCTACAAGATGGATGTTAAATGAGATAAGGAAAAAAGAGGCAACCCTGCAAGGCAAGGAAGTGTTCCTTTTTCTTCACACCAATGACTCAGCTGTGATAACTCCTTTTGGGGAAGCACCAGCACAGTCACAACCATCCTGAGGTGGTCACATCTGATAATGGGCCATAATGGACTCAATGGCACTGGCAGAATGGGCAGCTGGAATGACTCACAGTATTACATCATTCCATTGTGAAAGCCCCCAGCCTGGGGGAGGTACTGACCTTTACCACCCAAACCAAAGCATATATAATCTCTAATTTTGGGGATTTGGGACACCACCACGACCACCTCTTGACATATCCAGAGGAGGACCAATACTTCCATAGGGCCACTGCTTTTGACTGCAACCACCACTTGACAGGACTGCAACCATCACCCTGACCAACAGGGTGTCAGGTTGTACTCTGACTTTGTGGGTTTAAGCCAGCTTTCTGTGTATCATTACATTTATTGTAATCTCTCTATTAAATTGTAACTCTGTCCTGAAATCTCTCTTAAGATAATTGAGTGGGGTTCTTTTCTCCCATCAGTCTACTTTCATACCAGCACACCCTCCCACAGGAAACAGTATTCCATAACCTTCTCCAATGTGACTCCTTCTGACAAGGTACGGTTCTTCACAAACTGCTCCAATGTAGGATCCTTCCACGTTGTGCAGTCCTTCAGGAACAGGCTGCTCCAGTGTAGGTCCCCCACAGGGTCACACCTCCTGCCACCAAACCTGCTCCAGCATGGGCTCCACTCTCCACAGGGTCACAGGTCCTGCCAGGACCCTGCTCCAGCAGGGGCTTCCCATGGGATCACAGCCTCCTTTAGGCACATCCACCTCCTCCAGCATGGGGCTCCTCCACAGTCTGCAGGTGGATCTCTGCACCTCTGTGGATCTCCTTGGGCTGCAGGGACACAGCTGCCTCACCATGGTCTTCACTGTGGGCTGCAGGGGAATGTCAGATCTGGCACCTGAACCACCTCTTCCCCCTCCTCCACTGACCCTGGTGTCTGCATATTTTTTCCTTTCACATATTCTCATTCCTCTCTATGCTGGCCCAAATTGCTTCTGTGCTGTAATTTCTTTCCCTTTCTTAAATATGTTATCACTGAGGTGCTACCGCTTTCACTGATGGGCTGGGCCTTGGGCAGCAGGGCGTTTATCTTGGAGTTGACTGGAACTGGCTCTGATAGACATGGGGGAAGCTTCTGGCATAAGACACCCCTGTAGCTTCCCCACTACCAAAACCTGGTCATGCAAACCCAATACTGAAGTGATACGTGGAATAAATAGATAAACTCCACAATTCGGGGTAGTTATGAAGTGGGTATGTATTGTCAGCACTCGGCACAAGTGAGATATCTCTCCAAAAACTTGTGCCCCGAGCTTCAGTCTGACCCACACTTTTAGTTAGAAAGGTGTTCCATATGCAGTACATTGCACAACTTTTCTATGCATATTCAACCTCTGGCCCTGCCTGTCCTTACCCCTCATGCTAAATAGGTCTACGCCCTTCTAGGCATGCGTGGTTTGTCGTGGTGGTCCTCCAGGGGTCTCTTGAGGCTGAAGATTGTGGTCTTCTTCATGGTTGAACCTTTTAACTCTTCCTCTCTGCGCATGCGCTTTTGGTCTTTTGGTGCTTATCTGAGTACTGTCTGTCAGTCTTGATAGACTTGGAGACAGAGGAGCCTCTTTATCTGGGCTCTTTGCATTTTGGGTCTCTTTCTGATATTGTTCTTTATGCAAGAAGCTTCAGAAATTTGCATTTTCTTATGCCCTTTGTACCTCGGCAGAGGTTTCTTAAGTAAAAGTTAAAATTTAACACATGACTCTACATGCTAGAATATAAATGCTCAGTTCATTTTGTTAACTTAAGTGAACTCCAAAAATCTCTGTTTCAATACACCCATAGAAGCTACTGTGGAAAAAATTAACATTAACTCAGTCAAAACCATCATACCAGTTCTTTATTTAAATTTTCTCTTATTAGCACTGTCTGCTTCACAGTAGTTCCTGTTTTTCTTTAATGCTATGCACTACTAAACAGTTGTTATATTTTACCCAAGAGTTATGAAATTAAATACAAGATGAAATTACTTATGTGTAAGCTTTGAATCATTTTGGGAATCTAAGGCCTAATATTTTGTAATAAGTAATTTTATCAGCTTTGTTTCTATATAACTACTATTTAGAATAATTCTGAAGACACTAAGTTTATAAAATCACTTACTATTCTGTTGCGAATCAACATACATTATTGGTTTCTAGCTTGGACCATTCAATCTTTGCATAGTACACATGCTTTTAACTGTAGTTGTTTTCCCATATCTTCTTGATTCTGAAATGAGGCTATATTTAATAAAAAGTATTAATCTACATTTCACTTGTATACTTAAAGTCATAAGATTTTTATAAAATTAAGTTCAAAAAATTCAGCATGGCTGAGTAAATAATTTGGCATTGTTTCATTTGAAGATTAAAACAACTCTTGTGATACTTCAGAAATAAGGACCAAGGAAGCAATTTACTTTGAAGATGCTACATTCTACCATTATATTAACAAAAATTTAGAATCATAGAATCACAGAATCATTAAGGTTGGCAAAGACTGCTGAGATCAAGTCCAACCTTCCAATGATCTCAACCTTGTCAACTAGATTACAGCACTAAGTGCCAAGTTCACTTGTTTCTTGAACACCTTCAGGGATGGCGACTCCACAACCTCCCTGGGCAGCCCATTCCAATGCTTGAAAATCCTTTCCGTGAAGAAATTCTTTCTGATGTCCAACCTGAAACTCCCTTGGCACAGCTTGAGGCCATGTCCTCTTGTCCTGTTGCTACTTGCTTGGGAAAAGTCACCTACCCCCACCTTGCTAGAACATCCTGTCAGGTAGAGAGTGAGAAGGTCTCCCTGAACCTCCTTTTCTCTGACTAAGCACCTCCAGCTCCCTCAGCCTCTCCTGATAGGACTTACTCTCCGGACCCTTCTCTGGACACACTCTAGCACCTCAATATCTTTCTTGTAGTGAGGGGTCCAGAAGTGAACACAGGATTTGATGTGCAGCCTCACCAGTGCCAAGTACAGAGGGACAATCATTTCCCTGGTCCTGCTGGCCACACTATCGATGATACAGGCCAGGATGCCATTTGCCTTCTTGGCCACATGGACACACTGGTAGCTCATATTCAGCTAGCTGTTGATCAGCACCCCTAAGTCCAGCCACTCTTCCCCCAGCCTGTAGCACTGCATAGGGTTGTTGTGACCCAAGTGCAGGACCCAGCACTTCGCCTTATTGAATCTTAGTTGGACTTGTTGAGTTTACTATTGTACCCTGAGTAATTTGTGATATAGGCTATTCTTTGCCTATTTTAGTCAAACCCCCTATTTGCTTCTATTTACTTTCCAAGATTAAGTTCTTTATTGTGAAAAATGTGTATTTTATGATTGGCTCTTCGCAAATATTAAATTGAATACTATATGTATTATGGAGGGTTATTTTGTAATACTGTATTAATCCTTTTAAAGTAGTGTGTTAAATATAGTTTTAGGTTACAACATAATGTTAAAATAGAAACTATGCGATGTAAGATATTTTTTACCAGCTCAAGAAAAGGGATAAGATAATCAAGAAACTCTTCTCACAGAGATAACAGCAACACGAAACCTGAAGAGTTACAGCCTCCTTATCAAAAAAGACAAACACTGAACATTCTCTCTATCTTTATGGAACCACCAGGCTTAAGGGGAAGAAGTTGACAAAACCCAGAAAAATTCTTAATTTGCAAGGAATTTATGCATCATGCATGAGATATATGAATATGCAACAGGCTATTGCTTTTGAGGGTTATTCCTTTGTTTGCAAGGCATGTTTTTGGCAGCTTAGTGCCCAAAAACATTTGGACGTCCGTAATTCTTTGCTTTTTATTGTCTCATAGAGTCCTAATCCTCATTGTCCAAATTTTTATTACTCCAATTTTATTACTATTTTTATAACTATTTTATTACTAATAAACTTTTAAGATTTTAAAAAACAAGTGATTGGTGTTTTTCACACTTTCAAACTGAGCAACCACATTCAAGAAGTGGTGTCATAGATAAATGTGAATACACTGTGATGCAATCTCCAACACTAGCTTGTACACTTAAAAATCTTTTATAAGAATGTTTTTCACCAGCAAAATATATATGACATATAAACCATTTTATATGAATGAATTATCCCCTGTACACATAACAGTAATACTTATCCTTAGTTTAAAATTGGGAAAAGATATTTGGTCTTGGTACCAAACTGCATTGCAATGATTAAATTCAGAGCTGCCCATGTTCCTCTCCTCAGCCAAACTGTCCATGTCCTGAAGCCTTGTGCTTGTTCGGGGCCGCATTGCACCCCAAGCGAGGTCGCTGCCTTTGGGTTCACCCTTCAGATCTTCTTGACAGCTATTGCTAGGACTTCATTTCACAGCTCCTAAGGCAGCTCCCTTCTTCAGTCCTGTTGCTTGTTCAGATTGTGGGGAAAAGCCATGCAATGAAAAGCCAGTGTCCACAAATGAGACAGAGGAGTCCTGCAACTTTATTCAAATAAAGAGACAGATTCC